CCCCCCCCCATTGTTCAACAGTGCGCGGGGGGTTCGTAGATTGCAAGACTTTTGCAAATCTTCCCGTACTCCCCCTCGTCCCCATTTTCGTCCATCTTCTCGTCTCCGGGCCAGCGGTGGCAACGGCGACTCAGAACAGACCCAGATTCAGACCTCGAAGTGAGTGGCGGACCCCCTCGCCTTAGGGGTCATCTGCGGTGAGATAGATAGATAGGCAGAGTGACACACGGGTATGCAAATTCGTACAAGCGGTAAGAATATCGAGATAGTTCAAAATGGGCTGTTCAATGGGTGCTGTCCGTAGACGAGTGTGCAGGTTTGCAGGGGAGAGAGAGCTTGCGATCGAGCACGTAGCGGGGACCAGTCCATGGATGACGTCTCCAAATCACGGTTAACTTCACGGCACATCTCAAAGAAGTATGTCGCTTTAATCCCACGCTCTTTTGCATATGCACGCCTGCATTGCTATGCAACAAGAAGCTTGGGCCGGAGTCACCCACCACGGAGGGCTCGATTTTTGTCGTCAATTTCCGTGGACCCTACCTGTTGGACCCGAAACCACATCGAGAAACCGTACGATGTCTCCGTCACGTGCACATGTATCAAGACGTCTTCCTTCGTTTTTAACGACTGCGACGAGTCTCATCTCCCGAGTTTCCATAAACGCACCCCATTTTCCACACCCTCGTGCTTACATCGCACTTTTGTTTCGTGGTCGCAGATCGTTGTCAGAAACTGCCGTGTGTCCCAGTTGTTGAGAAGATCTTCGTATCAGTCCTTATTCATGTGGGCTCACCGTGAACTCGGAGACCATGTCCTCGCGTGGGTCTTCCGTGATGGCTCCAAGGGTAAGGCCGTCCTTCACGGAGGGGCCGTGAAACATCATGTCCAGGTCACCCAGCATGCCCTGATTCATAACCCAGGGGGAGGCGGGCTTGTTACCGAAAAACAAAGCAGAACGGGTGGTATTTTCTGTTGTTGTTCCGTTCCGTTCTCTCGGTCCAGTACCTTCTTCTGTCCGCACTAGTCTATCACGTGATGGGGTCGATTCCCGTGGTCACAGGCTAACTCACCCAAAAGAGGTATTATGCGAAAATAAAGTGGACCCGTGAATACTTGAATTTCCTAAAAATAGCAGGTTGCACGAGTCGGCGGCCTCTCACCGATGACAGGTGCGGGGAATCATCGTCTTCGTCACCGTCGTCGTATGACTTGGCCGTGCCGTCGTTATGGCCGGCATCCATGATGCGACCCCAGTCGATTTCCGACCTGGTCTTCTCGTGGCCCTTGCCTAGCAGCAGCAGCAGCAGCAGCAGCAGAAAGTCGGGTAAAGTAGCAACGAACATAAGGGGAGAGTTCGTTGCAACGCCTCGCAGAATCGGTTTTCCTTGGGAACGTCGTTGAGCTTCCTTCCCCTTGCGCAAGCCGAAACGCGACCAAGCGCTCTCAGGAAAACTCTATCTGATTCCTGGGTCCGGTGTTGTAGTCGTTCTTTCGTGGAATATTCGTGGCGGCGGGAGCAACTGACTGGTCTCATGAAAGTCGAATCGACCCCAACGAATCGGAGAAGGGCGGGCTACCGGGGAGGCGAAGGCCGGAACACGAATGGTATGCGTTGGAGACAATATTCACAGGGAACGGGAACAACGAGCTCAATGCAATCAACAATATCGCCAACGACAGCAACTACAGGAACAACAATTCAGCCACCTCATCACAGCAAAACAGCGACACGAAAGGAAGCAGCGGCATCAATGTAAACGATACCCCGATCCAAGACCCACAGCAACACTGGCTGCAGCAGGAGCAACGACAGCCGCACCAATTCCAACACCGCCACCGCCACATCGCCATCGCCACCACCACAACTAATAGCAACAACAAACGACAACAACACGAAAGGACAAGTTCGACCGGAGAGGTGCAATACCTGACACAACCGAGGC